CTGACCTCCACACATATACTGTGCATATACCCAGAAAATATATACATGCATAAAAAATAAATTAATTAATAAAAAAGTTAATTTTAAATATTATAACAACATAGCTGTTGCCAAACTGCTATGGATTTCAGAAGTAGCCCATACAGAAGTCTATCATTTGTAGAGTGAAAAGATACATTTTGCCACAATAAATGTTGACTTACTGAGTCCCCAAATTAGAAAATGGAACAGCTGCAATGACATCCTTTCTTGTATAGACATCTCAGAACGCCAACTACTATAAAACTGTAACCACAACCCAAGTTCATATCCAGTCATTTAAGAAGGCCACAGACTTGAAGGCAAGTTTTTTAGATATGGAAAATTCAGAAATCCAGCAGTCCAAAGATAGTGGCTACCACTAGCAAAAATCCGTTTTGCTTAGGACCTAGAGTGCAAAGCTCACATAGGAATTTTAGAGAATGTCTAAGAGGTGGGTACCACAATAGTTACACATTTGAGTCATCTGCTTTTCTAGTGTACAAACAGCTATGTCCTGGTTTGGGGTGGTCACTAGTTGTCCTGACTTCTTTAAATGTTAAGAAAAGTTAGTTATTAGAAGGTCTTATGCCATCTGGGTGTAGTGGTGCACATTTTTAATCCCAGCACTCAGGAGGCAGACGTAGGTAGATTTCTGTGAGTTTGAGGCCAGCCTGGTCTACATAGTGAATTCCAGGACAGTCAGAGCTACAAAATGAGATCCTGTCTTGAAAAAAAAAAGCTCAATCCTTTGTAGTTCTTCTCAAGCATAGGTAAAACTGCACTTAGTCATTTAAAAGGTATCTTTTATTGGAGAACAGGGGAAGCATTGGTCCCCTGGTGAGGTAGAGAGGCAACTGACCCTAGAAAAGATAGTGAAATGCAGCTTTTCATAGAATGGCTGCAATCTGCAAGGTGACTTTAGTTAGTGGTGACACCTCCAATGATGTCCCCTCCAGCACCTTCAGTCAGTGGGAGACCAACAATAAATATCACAATGCTCAACTCTGTCACCTCCAATGTCAGTAGACGTGATTTAAAACCAGCTAAAAGCAAACAGAGCTGGAGAACTTATTTAGGTTTTCCCTTGTCACAGTTATAGTTATAGTTAGAAAAATCATCTTAACAGACGACTCTCTGCCTTGTTTCCTAGATGGGAGAGGAGGGCCCTCATAGATGTTAGGGGCAGAGCCAGAACTCAACTAAGACTATATATTACCTAAACCTTCTGTTACAAAATTTCCAAAAATCAGAAGTAGAAAGACTAGAATAACAAACTGCTACATGGTCATCTTCAAGTAATAGTCATCTCATTTTCTTTAAAAAACAAATTTGAATCTGAGTCTGATTACCATTTATATGCTCCATAATGTCAGCATCTCAGAGAGCAAACCCCAGGCAAAGAGAAAAACAGAAATCAAAAGAAATGTAAAGTATGAGAAACAAAGGCAGATTGCCAATCAATGCCCAAAGTGTAGACAATTTGCTCAGATTTTTTTGCTTTTTCTTTTTCAGAACAGTAGTCTGGAAAACACAGACTTATTCTGAAGGGACACTGTTCCTTTAAGTTGCTTACTGATCCCACCCAGATCTTGCATTTGGCTAACTGCCTAACCACTCAAGTAAACAAGAATAAGGAGAGGGCAAAAAAAAGTTCTAAAGCAAAGACAATTATTTCCCAGAGAGCAGAATAATATCAAATAGTCAAGTGCATCCCTAATCACAGTCCTTGCTGTGAGCATCTACTGCACTGGTCTCTGTGGACGTCTACTGCACTGGTCTATCTTTTCTGTTTGACAATCTGTCTAAGGTAAGACACAGTTGCTTGTTCTTCATTCCTTAACTCTGGACCTTCCAGGAGCCCTGCGAGGATAAATGGGCAATATTCGGGTCATGGGAAGGAAACTTATTTAAAACTTTGCCCTCTGCTGTCTTCGCAACCAATTGTTAGGTAAACATGAATAACTGCTAAACTAAACTAAAACTTGTTTTAAAGGTATTTAATTCTTTGTTTTGCAAATTTTATTCTAAACTTACAGTCTACTAAATTGTACTTCAATGATGTTAACATCACTGGGAAACTTTTTAAAGATTTGAAGTGGATTTCTATAATTCAGAATTAATTATAGAATATTTTTATCATTTGACTAGTTTAGAAATTTGAATAAAGAATATCTGATCATTTTGTCTTCATGTAGAAACTAATAAAATGCAAAAACTAAGAAAAATTCATAAAATCTACAGAAAAACTTTTTATTCCCAAAAAATTACAACATACAAAGTCCCTTGAATGCATTGACCTGAAATAAGTTTTAGGAAGAATTTCAAGATACAGTATTTGCTAATCGATCTGTATTCATAAAATTTAGCCTATGTTAACATAGAGGCTTACATTTCTTTCATTTATCTAGCTCATCTTCCATCCCTTTAATCCATTAGTGCATCACCCGCAAAATAAAAACAATTAAAAACATGAGCAATAGAATATGCTGTAAGTGATTCGGAGTGGGTGGGCTCTCAAAAAGTCAAGCTAACAAAGGCAAAGGATTCAGGAAGGTAATACATTGGAAAAGCTAGAGAAAGAAAAATGGAAGGGCAGGAGAGCGCCCTGGGAAGCACAGAGTTCTGCTTCAGGGGGCGAGCCAAGACCCTCAGGAGAAGTCAGACACACAGATATTATGATTGTTGCAGGGACTGAGCTGTATCCATGACTGTCATCCATTCAAGGGTTGAGCTATAAATTCAGAACTCTAAGCCAAGAAAACTACGTGTTCAGATTGCTTCGTTTCGTTTGACGCCAGTAGTCCTGAAGTCCTCACATCCCGTCCCCTTAGGGTCTCACTTCCAGACCTTCTAGGATGTTCCTCATGGTGTGGACTCTGAGCAAAGAGAAAACACCTGTGTAGCACTATGATTTCTTTTCCGCCCTGAAAATGCAGAAGCAGCTGTGTGTGTACGTGAGCTCATCTTTACACTAACCTTCGGAATTAAAGTTGTGGTTCTTTCATGTTCTCCTTGGTTCGAACAGAGATGCCGATTGCATGTTCTGTTTCCTTAGTACAGTTCTAGTGGGTTTTTGTTTGTTTGTTTTTGCTGTCTTCTTTTCTTACTATAACTGATCTGAAGCTTGGTTGACATTTTGCCAAGTGTACGTGGTACATGGGCCAGCACAGGTGCTTGTTTGCACAGAAGCGGTGTTCTCTTAGTAAACGTCCTGCTGCATGCCATTTGAGGAAGAGACTGTGGCCTGAAGCCAGCGATTGCTTTATCGCCAACCTAACAATCTTGCTTCTTGGGGTGGGGGGAGTAGTGGTTCATCCATCTGGCATGGATAAAAGAAATCAGTCTCCCAACTCACTCATCATGGCCTTTGCGTGTATTTCCACCCTCTACTGAGCATCTGGAAAATCATGGTCATGAATTTCCAGTTCACATTCTCTGGAGGCAAGGTGCCAAAGGAGGAAACTGTGATTCCTTTTCCAGACCTCCTGGAGTTAATGCAGCTAGCTGAAGGAGGCAAGCACGGAAAACCATGCAGATTGTTAGATCTAAATAAATGTTGTGTTCCCATTTCCTTGGGCATCCTGAGCTAGCAACGTGTCAGTCTCCTTTTGTCAAGGAATCCTGGGTGTTTAAACATCACTTTGTGTACAGCCATGGATATGAGACTGATACTGAGAATTTTAATACTGAATTATAGTTTTCATTGCTTAGCTACCTGGAAAAAGTAGTTTCACAGGGTGGTTTGAAGGGTAGGCCTTCTGACTTCAAGTGTTTTCCTGTGCATTATTTGGAAGTTGCTTTTAAGCAAATCTGTTGGTTTTTGTTCTCATGATCTTTAGATTCATTAGCTGGGCAGTCCCACTTTGGAACCTGATGAGGACAAACTTTCCAAAGCAAGAGTAGAAAAGAGAAAGGAGTTATGGAGAAGCTGAGGAAGAATTTAATTCTGATGTGAGTTTTGAACTCATTGATGAGTTTTGAACTCATTCTCAGTAAGGCTAAAAAGGTCGTGGCTCTGTATGATTCAAAGAAGAGACAGATTTTCTAAGAATCGGTTGTAAGGAAAATGAGTGGAAGAATCATTTAGTCATCTGAATTCATGCTGAAAACCTGAAAATGACAAGGCAGGTGCTGTGATGGAACCACAGTCCCCAAATAGTGTGGGACTGAGACATTGATAGATGGCTTTCCTTTTCCATGCTCTCCATTAATATAATGAGAAATAATTGATGCTTATATAGCTATTAAATCTAAATGAATATTTAGATAGAAATATTTGATCATGGTACCATGACTTTCTTAGGTTACAAGTTTTAAAATTTCAGTGTATTTTATTCGAAATGTGAAGGGTGTGTGTGTGTGTGTGTGTGTGTGTGTGTGTGTGTGTGTGTGTTTGAGTGAGCCAGCAGAGGACAGCTTGCTGAAGTTAATTCTTTCCTTACACTACATGGATCTTGGAGACAAACTCAGGTCGTCTTGCTTGGTGCCAAGTGCCTTAACTCACTGAACCATGTTGTTGGCCCATATGCCAGTTTTTAGCTCTACAAACTCAAAATTATTTATTTATTTATTTATTTATTTATTTATTTATTTATCCCCCCTCCCTTTCTCTTATGACTTCCAGTTTATCAGGGTTTTTTTGGGGGGGGTCCTGAGTATGAGACTGAGTGGGTCTCTGTTTCCTGTGCCTTCTCTTGGGCTCTTTTCATGTCTCTTTCTTTCTTTGTTCTGACCAATTCCAATGTGTTAGTTTTGTTTCATCATATCATATCATATCATAGTCCCTTAGAAGCCTGTTTTTTTCTAATAAAAGTCAGAAAGGGGATCAATCTGGATGGGAGGGGAGTGCAGAAAGAAGAGAAAGAGTAGGGGCGGGGGGGAGAACGACCATAATCAGGCTATGAGAAAAAAATCTATTTTCAATAAAAGGAAACATTACCTTTTATGGAAGTATTTATAACTGGATTTTCCGTTTCAAGGTCTTATCAGGCAGATGAATTTTCACCATCTACCACAATGAGGAAAAGAGACGCTGCCTTCTGTCTTCTGCTTTTGCCAGCTTTTATGACTCAATCAGTGTATGGACAAAGAAAGAAAGGACCAAAACCAAACACACTGGCAAGGAAAAATGACGTCCGGGGTAAGAAATAGAGTGTTTTTAAAATGTTTTAGTTTTAGTCTGTGAAAGCACTAATAATATGTATATATATATGTGATGTTCTACTTGATGCAATTATATCATGATAGTAATAAGCCCTACATATTTGGATCACCTCAGAGATTTTAGAGCACTGTGCTCTAAATATAGATATATTATATTTAGATATCTATATATAAATATAGATAAACAGATTCAGAGATCTTAAATGGCACATTCAAGGCCATAAGCAAATAAGGTATTAAGAAACCAATCTAGGATTCACATTCAACTTTATTTTCAAATTAAGTTTGTTTTCCTGTTGTTATTCCTACAGTGTATGTAGACATTTTCTCATTTGATTTCAAGGTCCTAATACGACATAACCCAAATATTAAACAGAACATTTTTTATTTACCTTTAGACTCCTTTGTTTAGAGTTTGTTTAATTGTAAAAATATATTGCACTTTCTTTTTTTGTGCTTTAAGTGGGTTTACAAGTGAGAACATATGATACTTTTATTTGTTTGGTCTTGCTTTTCATTTTATGAGAGAAAAATATTTTGTAGACTTAGAAGGATATTTAGTTTTGTACAAATTAATCTTTGTCTTGAAGGCAATCTGTCATCTTTCAAGGTGTCTCTCACAGTTACTTCTCTCAGCAATAACACAAACAGCACATCATCTTGGGGTTTTGATTATGTGATGTTACATGTGAGGAGGGACAATTGTGACACACAACCTTTGTGCTCTCTTTCAGATGTCATTTGCTTCATAGATGTTGCCTTTATCTTGGACAGTTCTGAAAGCTCTAAAATTGTCCTCTTTGATAATCAAAAAAATTTTGTGGACAACTTGAGTGAGAGGATTTTCCAGTTGACTCCTGGCCGTTCGCTGAAATATGACATCAAGCTGGCAGCCCTTCAGTTTAGCAGCTCTGTTCAGATTGATCCACCCTTTTCTTCTTGGAAGGACCTACGGACATTTAAGCAGCGGGTCAAGTCTTTGAATTTAATTGGGCAAGGTACCTTCTCTTATTATGCCATCTCCAATGCCACAAGGCTACTTAAGAGAGAAGGGCGTAAAGATGGTGTGAAAGTGGCTTTGCTGATGACTGATGGCATTGATCATCCCAAGAGTCCAGATGTCCAAAGTATTTCTGAAGATGCTAGAACTTCAGGAATATCATTTATCACCGTGGGACTTTCCACTGTGGTCAATGAAGCCAAACTTCGCTTGATATCTGGGGACTCATCCAGTGAACCTGTTCTACTATTGAGTGATCCAACCCTTGTAGACAAAATCCAGGAACGCCTGGTAGGTACCTAGAAGGTTAAATTGTATATCGTATTTTAATATCTTAGATGTAAGCTATTTAAGAATAGATACAAAATTTTGACAAAGTAAGATTCTCATTGGGCACAGGACAAGAATCTTTCTGGATCCTCTTTTCACTATCCTGAGGATTTACTGGGAATGTGTTTGTTCCCTGAGGTTGCATCCCTAACTTTGTCAATGTCGAGGTTTTTGGAAAGATTGCTTTTAAAGCATACACCATACTCTTCTGTTTATTCATCCTAAGATCATGCACATTGTTGACTTCTATTCATTTTGTTATCAGTTTGTAGTCTGTTTAATTTGTTCTCACTTTATCCTTTCTCATTTCCCACTTGCAGAATTACCTTTGACTATCTTACCCATTTCCATGTTATACTCCTTAAACATATTTAATTTTTTTCTCCTTTTATGTCTTATATGTTACAAGTCTGCCTATATTACTTTTCCTATTGCCTGAGAAAGCAACCTAGGGAAGGAAGAAATTATTTTGGATCAAGAATTGAGGTGATAATCTATCACGGTGTGAAAGTATGGTGACAGAAGCATGAAGTGTCTGGTCACATAGTGTCCGTAATCAGAAAACATAAAAAGATGAATGCTTCCATTAGCTCAGAGTCTGTTTTCTTCAGGTCAGGACTCCAACCCATGGAATGCTGCTGTCCAATTTTAGGGTGGGTCTTCCTGCTTTAGTCAACCTAATCTAGAAACTCCTTCATAGATAAGCCCAGAGGTGTGTCTCCTAGGCAATTCTAGGTCCTGTCAAGTTAACAATCAACATTAACTATCTCATGATCTGCTTTAAATCACCTGTAGTCAATTGATGATTTTTACATCAGAGCAGGGAATTCCTTCTCTTTGTATTATTGGCTACAACAGTGATTTTCTGTGTTGACTACCATCAATCTGTAAGAGCTTTCCCTTGCTGCTTTGGGAAACAAGGCAAAACAATCAAAATGAAATCTCTCTTTACAACGTTTCTCAATGAGAAAACTCCCAGATAGAAGTTGGCTGATTTGTTAAGTGTTTAATATTGATTTTCTAAAAAATACTGATTAAAAGTTTTTCCTAAGTAGGTTGCATTTATGTATTAAGAACACACACATACAACAACAACTAAAGAAAAAGTGGGCAGCCATGAGTCTGTGAGAGAGTAAAGCTGAGATGGGGTGAGGAATATACAGGAAGTACTGGAGAGAAGAAAAGGAAAGGGTAAAATGATGTGGCTATATATTTAATGTTAAAAGCTTAATTTTTTTCTTGAGAAGGCAGCAAGGTGGAAATGTCCTTTAGGTACTTATCATTTCTCATGAATATTTTCTAAACATTGCAAAGAAAATTGAAACTTATTCCAGAGGTTTTCTTTGATCTTTTTGTCCTCTCATCGTCTTTTCTCAAGATTTAACTTTTAATCACAGTTGAAAGCAAAAACAGGAAACATGTTTTTCTTAGTAAATAGTATGTGTGGAGTGCTGTCTAGCTCTCCATGTTTTTGCCACTGCTCTATGTTTTTATATAATCTTTTAGAGATTTATTTTATTTTATATGTAGTAGCGTTTTTCCTGTATGTATGTATACAAACCACAGGTCCTTGAAGGTCAGCAGAGAGCACTGGATCCTCTAAACCTGGAGTTAGAGATAGTGGTGAACGACTTTGTGGGTACTGGGAGCCAACCTTGGGACCTTTGCAAGAACAAATGCTATTTACTGTTGAATGATCTCATTATCCTCTCTATGGTTTATTTTTGTTTATTCTATCACAATCTAATGATGTAGGTTAATCACAAATGTAAGATGATTATTATCACACCCATTTTATTGCAAAAGAGCTGAAAATTTAAGGCTCACCAAGATTGCACTGCATGGATGCTTAGCCCTGAAAAAGCATATTTAAAGAGAAAATCACAATGAATTTTGAAAATTTGCTCAGTCAGAACTGCCCCAAGAATACCAACATCACTCTTCCAAAGTTTCTATTGTTTCTTGCATCTTTTCCCTGGGGATTGAGCCTGTTTAGATAGGAGTCAGAGACTGAGCCCAGCCTGTGGTTCCCAGGTGAGTCTGGTTGAAAGGAGATCCGTCAAAGAAAAGGAAAACTTGTCACTGTGTGAGGACAATACCTAGCCCTGCCTGTGCCCCTAGTTCATGGAGTCCTCACCACTCAGCTGAAAGCAAGATGTTCCGTTATGTATAGAGGAGACTCCTGGGAGACTCCCTCTCTTCATCTCTATTGTGAGAAGAGCTCATTTCATACTTGTTTGGCCAGATGTTCCCGCTCAGGTTGTTGCCACCCCCTCTAGACACACTCTTGGTGAGATCCCTGCCCAATGGAGGACAGGAGCTCTTGGCAGTGAACTGGAGCTGGGACTGTTTGTTTCTGGGGTAACAGAAAATGACCATCGAGACTTCCTCAGCATCCTGTGACTTCATCTTGTTTGTTCAGGTGTTAGTTCTGTGAATAAACGTCCCCTGACAAAGGGATAGGGCTTCCAGACCACACCCCAGGTCCAAAGTTCTTATTCAGCTTTGAAAAGAATGACACACCAACATTCAGTATTCGCATTGCCTCTCCCCATAAAGCAAGGCCTGATTTTTCACCAAACCATTGGTGAATTCCTCATTTAGTCTATGATGATGAATGATATTTATTACATCATTAGTTGATATTTTGACTTTTTATTTTGAAATTCTTATGTGGTTAGGCTTTTAAAATAATTTGCCATAATGCATTACTTAAGCGCACAATTCCGTGAGGTTTGACAAGTAAACATACTGTACAATCACAAACACAATTAGAATACAGAAATTTCCATCACTTATAATGCCTATGCAAACTTCTTTGTGATCCCTCTCTGTCTCTCTCCCTTACTGCAGAGCTACTAATCTGACTAGAGGTTCATTTCTGTTTCATAGTTTATATTATTTTTCTCCTAAATTAAATTTCAAAGACTTCAGTTGTTGTTGTTGTTGTCATGGAAATTGTTGGCCTTTGATCCCATCTCATTTGTATGATATTAATAACTTTGTCAACTCTTCATATTTCCTCCCTCACTCTTTATAGCATTTGGCCTTGTATTCATTCCCAAAATTAGCCATTCCCTTCCAGCCTTCTATTTTGACCACTATCCCATTATACAAATCTGAACCCGCTGATGGAATGTCCTTTTATTTTAGTGAGGACATTTCTCCATTTATTCTTGTCATTGATGCTCAAGTTTCAATAGAACTTACAAGGTGTAACTCAGACTGAAATTTGTAGATGTCCTTTTGAAGATGCCCACACCCTGACTGTGGCCCTCTGTCCTTTCCCAGTCATTCTCAAAGCCATCCTCATCGAGGATGGAAACCCTACTTCCCAGTGTGCCCAGCTCTGTCCACTGGACCCTTGTGTCTACCCTTTGAATATCCGTCCTCACTGCTGCCCTTGTCTTATTGCCTACAGCAGTCTTTATGACTCTTTCCCCCACAAACTTTGACATATAGAGCAGCATGCCATTGGGGTGTTAGTTGGTGTCTTGCATTCCTTTCTTCTGAATCATCCAGAAGCCCCACCTATTCCAAGAAGCTGTTACTGACTCCCACTCTCATCATTTAAGACTGCCTACCCTGCTATTGGCGTGTTGTCCTCAGTGGAGGTTTCCGACCGTTAGTGCCCTTAGGGATGGAGCTTTGTGCTTTGTTCGAAACAATCTTATCTATTATGAGTTTTGGGTCTAGTTCTATTTCTACAAAAATACAAATTCCAGAAAATGTAAAAACAAACGAACTACAAAAATGGTTATGTTGTTTAAGTGCTAAAGGGAAATACAGTGAAGCAAAATTGAATTTTCAAAGGGAAAGCTGTAAAAAGGTACAAATATGACAAAAGCATGAATTCTAAAACCACTAATGAAAGGAGGCAAATGTGGCTCATGGCTGTAATCCTAGTTCTTGGGATGCTAACACAGGGTTGTCATCACTTGAGGTCACTCTGGACCACACAATGAACCCTAGCCATCTTGAGCTACATAGGAAGACCCTTTCAAGTAAAAAGCCCACAAAAATGATAGATATGAGCCAGGCGATGGTGGTGCCCACCTTTAAACCCAGCACTCAGGAGGCAGAAGCAGGTGGATCCCTGTGAGTTCAAGGCCAGCCTTGTTTACAGAGTGAGTTCTAGGACAGCTAGGTTTTTCGGGTACACTGAGAAACATGCATTATTATTTCTACACCAAATCATACTTATGATAATATTTTTATCATGGTATATGTATTATTTTTGTCACTTAATTCCTCCTAGGTAACAAGTTATAAATGTAGTTTTCTATAAATAATGTATATTGTTATGAACTATTCAAAAGTTTCACAAAATATTATTTTTAACACTGTTAAGATGTAAAAGATGCATCTCTTTTCCTTATATTGGGATTTTATAAGTAAAATACCACATTTGGGCCTCTTAAAAGTTTGAGTGAAAATCCCTTTCTCCTAGTAATCACAATAATGGGATTGTGGCTTCCTATGTTTCAGATCATCTTGAAAAATGCCACCAGGCTTTATAATGTTCTGGTTTTGAGTTTTAATACAATTTTATAAGACCTGCTAATAATTTCACAAAAAGATGATTCCCAAATCAGTGTTTTAGTGCCAAAAAACCCCCAAATGCACATATTTATAGATCTGGGGACAAGAAAATATCTAATTATGTATTTGCTTAAGTCTTTGTAAGCAAAAGTGAAAAGTTTCTCATTACAGTCAATTAAGCTTGGAGCTAAATTGTGGATATAATTAGAACTGATCAAAGAAACAAAATCAATAATAGAACGTATCAGAGTGACAAAAGCTAAAGCATGGGGTGCAGCAGGATAAAGTTCCTAGGAAACAGAGTAATTGTGAATGTTAGTGCCCCTCATGTTTCCTGTTATATGGCTGAGAGAACTCCTGGGGTGATAGGCTGGCTGGCTTTATTGTTTTTACAAGGATAAAAAGACTGAATTGCTATTCTTGGAAATTGCATCTCCCATAGAGAATTATTAAGACGAATAAGAAGACTGGAAGCAGTACTATTAATCGAGTTGATGTTTCATTCTTTATTTTTCCCTTCTAGGATGTCTTATTTGAAAGGAAGGTAAGCACCACACGCTTTATTATTGTGAATTACTCTAAGAACATGGATTTGCCATCCAATGTTGTGGTTCACATCAGTTGTGACTAAGTAAAAATGTCTAATTCTTTTTAAGATCAGTTACTTTGGGATAACTACATGGTCTTATTTTTTATGCCTCTGTATTTCAACTGTAGGTTAGTGGGATTTGAGAGACTGTTTTAGAGATCAGTGCTACCAATTGACAAAATCTCTCTTTACTTTGTCATGGATTCTTTTATTCTAAGAATGGATCAGACACTAGCTGCTTGCGGGAAGTCCTCTGATTTGGAAGGTACGCCTGCTATTGGCCAGCATCCATGTAGTGCTCAGTTCCCTGATCTTTGCTGGCTGGACTTGAAGATCCTTCACTTGTCTATTTTGAGGAGAACTGAGCCAGATGAGAACAACCAATCAGAGCACATTGTAAAGGAAGCTAGCTAGTAACCATCCATTGGAAGGCACATAGTATACAGGATACAGTCTTTTTAAAAGTGGTTATGAATATGCCAAAGATTCCTGAGCTACACTCTGCACCATGAAAAGCACAGGTGACATGGCAGCATCTGTTAAGTGTGGTCTGTAACTTTTGAAGACATGCAGAGAAAACAATCACTCTGCCATGTTTGAGCCTGTTAGACAGCTATCATAAGACTCATTCTGTTTTCAGAGATGCTAAAATAAAAACAAATGTGCATCTTGGAATTGATAAAATATGTTTCAAATCATGTTTTCTTTTGCTGAGTAGGGAGAAATTAATGCTTACATATGAATGAGCTGTGATGTATTGTATAGAAGGGAATGAAGTAGAAATTCCGAAATTCCACAGAAAATGCTTATTTTTCTGTTTTAACCCGTTTCTTTCTATAAATGCATTGATAAATATGTGATAGAACATTTGTTTTATTTAACCATGGTGGAAGTTAATAGTACTTCAATAGCTGACACATCCTGAGTTTGCCTTGAATAATTTAACAGAGAATGTTTCCTCAAGGGAGTTTCAGTTATATAGCAATTAAGATTTGGTATGCTATCACACACTATATTTCACTGTATTAATATTGCGTTTCTTGCTCATTCAGTGTGAACACAAGATCTGTGAATGTGAGAAGGGAGATCCAGGAGACCCAGGACCTCCCGTGAGTAGATGTTTATGTTGAACTTGTGTTTGATGAAGACAAAGATGAAATTATTTTCACAAAGGGCTTTTCAGTGTCATTTCTTATTTGGTAATTGGAGCCAGAATTTATCAGTAATGAGACAAAAACATAGAAAGAGTTAATAGAAGATATCTGTGATTTAGGTGATGCTTTATCTCAACAGTGATGCAGCAGCAACACCATATAGCCTCGTGGAGAAGAAGCTGATTAGGATGCTTGGGGAATTAGGTAAATTCTGTAAGATGAAAGCAACCACTTAGCAATTCTAAGCAGAGTGGTGGGATTCACCTAATTATTTATCTCTGACTAATAGCGTCAGAAAGTGTCTATACCACTCATTCCCTTATCTATGTGATTGGAAATCTTTTTTTGTTTGTTTTTTTGTTTTTTTCGAGACAGGGTTTCTCTGTATTGTTTTGGAGGCTGTCCTGGAACTTGCTCTGTAAACCAGGCTGCCCTCGAACTCACAGAGATCCTCCTGCCTCTGCCTCCCAAGTGCTGGAATTAAAGGCGTGCGTCACCAATGCCTGGCTTTGTGATTGGAAATCTTGTCCTAAGAGTTTAAAAGATGCAGAATAGGTTTCACAAAGTGAATGGAACACATTTCTGAGCTGGAGCTTGTATTTGAAAATGGCAGCAAAATCACATATGTTTGGGTGAATGTGACTTATTTTACCTAGTTTCTTGGGTCCAGACTGTAGTTTTTTGAATAATCCTACCAATCAAGGCATTGGGATGTGGAAATTTATTTCTCATGAAATACAAAGTTAGATCTATTACATGGTAATATGCCAATCAATAGATGCTGTGTTAACTAAAGTGAAGGTTTAACCTCACTCTCCTCTAAAGCTGTTGTTTAACTCGTTACATCAAGAGATTCTGTGAAGAATGGATAAGAAAACTCACTATCGGGAGCTAATTGACAAGTCCTATCACTCAGTACTGTCTTAACTTCATAGAAGTAAATGGTTCATTTCATGTTTATTTTGTGCCCTCAAAACCAGTTGTCAGGAAAGGAAGGTTTTTGGTGGTGTTTGGTACAGAATGGAAGAGTTCCCTTTTCCTATATCTGGATCTAATCCCCTAGATCAGAACCTCTTTGATATCAGGCAAGCAAGCTGACTCAGTAGTGGTCCACAGCAGCCCAGGCCTGAAACCACCCACCCCATGTCTATCCACTCAGTCTTTAAAACCTTTTTTGAGTTTAATTTTGTTTGGGAAGATGGATGAGAAGTAATTGAGGAAGAATTCACTTGGGAAGACAGACATTATCCTCTTTTGAGCACTTGGTAACTTTGCAGTGTTCCTAGAATTGAGTATCTGCTTGCCTGGTTAATGTTGCAAAGTTTTCGATGCAATTGATCAGAATATTAATAGAATACTTAATAAAAATAAGCTTTTCTCCATTTACTTTCAGGGTACCCATGGGAACCCTGGTATCAAGGGTGAGCGTGGACCCAAAGGAAATCCGGTAGGTGAATAAAGAGTTTTCTTTTAAGCTAATACATCTTTCATACTTATTTAGAGAGTATCTTGCCAGGGTTTTTTTCTGTCAAGTTTACATAACCTAGAGTTATTTGGGAAGTAAATCCTCAATTGAAAAAAAATTGCCTCCATCAGCTTGCCTATAGACAAGTGTGTGTTGCATTTTCTTGATCCATGATTGAAGTGAGTGGGCCGGTCCCATGGCAGTTACCACCCCTGGGCAGTAATCTGAGCAATCTGTGAGAAGCAGGCCAGTAAACAGCTTTCCTCCATGGCCTCTGCTTCAATTCCTGCCTCCATGTCCCTGCCTGGACTTCCTGCCTGGACTTCCTTCAGGGATCAAGTCTGACTAGAGAACTGTAAATTGAAATAAATCCTTTCCTCCACAAATTGATTTATGTCTTAGAGTTTTTTATTACAGCAATAGAAACTAGAACAGAGATTAAATCAGTCTTGATTAACCAGGAACTCACTAGATAGTCCAGACTCAGAGTCCTGAGTGCTGGGATTAGAGGCATGAGCCACCACATTCGACTAACTGCGTCAATTTCTGTAGTATGTGGAAAGTTTACACAGCTGATAAATAAATATCAGGCTTCTATTAATTAAAGAGGCAAATGATGCAAACTATTTAAAAGGAAATAATAGAGGAGGAAATGAACATTTTCATTATGTAAGTAAAAGGAGCTTGCCTAAGCAAAGAATCCTCTTTAATAATAATTACGTTTTTGGAAAGTTTGGATCCCACAGGACTGTTTTTAAAGAAACAATTTTCCAGTTCGTGCAGTCTTTGTTTTAGGCCTTTTAAGCTTCAAGAAATGTTTCTTTTCTTTTTTCTTTCTTTCTTTCTTCCATTTTTTCTTTACAGTAGTGGAAGCTGCAAATTTAAGTAATAATAACTAGAGATAGTGGTGGGTAAGACCTTTGCTCTCTGCTGCAAGGACAACTTGGCACTCACATTTTGGGAAGAAATTAGGCAATACATAAGAGGCCCTGAAGTACTCAAACTTTAAATCCCATTTCTAGGAGTGTTATCAAGAAGATAACACACATAACATTATATACATGATAGTACTCTTGGCACTGGCCTGCTTGCCCATTAAAGGGAGTGTGTAACATTCTTCGGGCACGCTACGAAACTGTCTTATGTTTACTTATTCTACCAGGTCCCAACTGATGTCATCACACCTTCTTTTATTGTATTTTATATTCACATTTTGTTGTAATCAATATTCACATTACATTAGTTTGGTTTGTAGTTTTGTGCCCCACACTGTATTTTCCTAAGGCTTGATGAAATCAGGCAATCTCTCTTGAGGAACATTTTAGAAAATATTCAAAGCTCTTTGGAGAAAAGCCAGAGTGTCTTGTTCCAGAAAAACTCAATGCTGTGTTTGAAAAAACACCATGCTGTAAACTGGAATGTGGGGGAAGCTGTGAAAGTCTATCTATGTTATGCGCCCTGAACATCTGGCTTTACTCCAAAAGGCCAAACCTTATCTGAACTGCTATTTTCCTCTTAGATTGCATGGTGAAAATGTCAATGGTCAAAACTTAAGATTCTTCTCTAATTGGGTTAACCCATTATCTTGGAATAGCACATTTTATTGGGCAATCGATCATTTGCCGAAGGATTTTAACTGAGTTTGTTGTTCATTGCAGGGTGATGCTCAGAAAGGAGAAACTGGAGAAAGAGGTCCCGGGGTATGTGCAAAATTAGAATGCTTTTCTGACAGATGATCCTGGGATTCTGTGATTGACAGGCTTGACCCTGCAATGTAATTATAAAATAGATTCCTACTTACCTATGTTCTTGAGGGTTCAGGCAGGCAACCAGACAGATGTGATCTCAGTGGCAAACTATGGAGAGAAAACACTCTAATTAACAGAGTGATGATGGGACCTATGATACGCCATAATGCCCAGATTAAACTATTTATGAAAGACTCAAATGACAAAAACACTTACTCTACTTGTTCTGGGTATTTTCTTTCTTTAATGATAAAAAAGCTAGAATTTTAAAAGTGTAAGAATCATATTGTCTAAACTATGCCCTTGTCAATTTGGTTCTGTTGACAAAAATAACTATTGTTCTGTTTTGTTTCTTGAGATTGCTTGGGAAATACTTACGGTATATTAAAACATGTTAATTATATCTTCTAGGGCATTCAGTAAGGATAGCAAAGAGCAACACTTACAGTGATAAGCAGGGTTTGTGTTGTGTTGCCTCTTTTTGCTTATCCCCTTGGTGGTGGTAAGCAGTCAGTCACAGAATCAGAAGCAGAGTTTTAAGGAGCTGGTCTCTTAGAGTTCCTAATTACCCATATGGAAACATCTGACAGAAAGCTCGATGCTGTTGACAGGAGTTTGTTGAGAACTTCTGCTGCCTGTTCCGGGAGCATGTCTTAGTTGTCTTCTAGACTCCTGGTACTGGATTTCTCTAGATAATTGGAAGCTTCTCAAACTTGAGGTGAGGTGAATAACTCCAGGCCCGTGAATGTGTAAAGGAAGCTGGGAGTGGAGACAAAGAGGAGAGAGAAAATTGAGATCATTATGCGAACTTCACCCTGTTAAAAACTTGAAATGTGGTGGACTAGATACAAATCAGGAGCTTTTTATTCCTAGAAATGAGAAAATCAGAACCAAATTAGGCAGAGAATAGTAATGCAATTTGGGATGTTTTAAATTGGAATATTTTAAAGCCAGTGATTAAGAGGCCCCTAAAAGAGACAAACACACAAATGAATAAACCCCTGAGGAGGTGACCAACTGATAAAGTGACAGGAATTTCAGAAGAAAACAAGAATATACCATGAACAAAGTAATACTCCTTTGTTTATGCAGGGCTTTATTGGCTCCTTCCAAAATCTATTCTTCCTTCTTTAACATATATAGCAAAAATTTTAAATGGTTGTGCATTGCAATGGGTAGAGAATATCCCAAGAATTGTGAAATGAGAAGCCTACATATTCTTGGCATGTTAAATGTGGATGATTTTTGCAGGAAATACCAAATTAATTGAGTAAATGTGATCTTTAATTTTAAGCACCATTTAGAAATTGAACAATTTATGTGAACAAGTATTTCTACAGTGAATTAAATTACACTGCCACTCGGTCTTTGGCTAACTCTACCTTCAGCTTCTATTACTAAATATCCATTAATTCAGAAAGAAGTATTATTTCTTCTCTGAAGTTTCTATTTGAAAATGTTACACATGAGATGAAATAAAAATTTTGTAGGATTCATGTGTAACTACAGAATTACCTCATTACACTGTTGGTTTCTCCAGCCTGTATTAAATATATCTTACAATTCTATTTTCATCCTTGAAAATATAGTTGCAGAGTAATGATGGAAAGGACTTGCTGTTTCTTGGAGATGGCAATTTCCCAGTCCATTTAATACCCAGAATTGAGTCTATTAGAGGGCTTATGGGAATGACACAGTGGAAAGGGCCCCTCAGGATTCCCACGAGTGACTCAAAGGACAGCCGAGGTGCTGGCATCTCACTTAGCGTGAGATAAAAACCAATAACTCAAAGGTCACTGACTCATTAGGGCTGCTAGAGGAACCATTCATTTCCCTGATGTTATATACTCCAAACTCAATGTGAAGGGAGGACCACGATGGATACAGACATTTACGAATATTCTAAAGGGCATCTTCTGAGCTCATTCCAAAGCCAGTCTCTCTAACTGACCCCGAGAACATTTAGCTGCAATAGTTTAATAGTTTTAAAGACATTACACCAGTTTGAAAGCTCTGTTACTGATCATCATGTCCACAATGACTTTCAGTGTACATTCTCTCCTTTGGTTTTGGGCCCAATGGTAACAAATCGGATTTGAAACAGAAAAATCTGGAATTGAGAATAGAATATAACAGGTAAACATAGGTCCATTCTTCTCCTTAGTAATGGCACATTCCCGAGCTCAGGGAGATGTAAAATAGCTTGCACTTAACTTACATGGTTTTCCTTCCAAGACTGGCTGATGAGATTTGTTGCACCTTATATGTGAAAAATATCTAGTGCTTCCTCGAATGCTGTTTTATAATACCTTGAATTACCTTTTGTTTTTTCTTTTAAACTAGGGAATTCCTGGCTACAAGGGTGACAAGGTAAGTTGGCCACAACCAGTTGAGCAGAATTTTAGAAAGAAAAACATAAATACTTATGCACTATTTTTGCCCTCCCTCACGTCCAAGTACACTCTTAAGTCAGTGTAGTCTGATAACGAATTGTAAGATGGCTATGTGTTGTAGAGGTGGAGGCACCCCTAATATTCCAGTGTCCCTCTAACGCTGCAAACATGATTTTTTTCCATTGAAGAATCTGATTTGACAACAACAACAAGAAAAGCAAAATAGGTTTTCAGATGGAAAAATTTTTCCCTGTAAACAAATGCTAACACCTGAATAAGTAGCTGTAGTGTCACTTACGTTCTCTGAGAACCCAGATTCTGACTATCTCCCATGGGAAAGAGAGGGATGAGTCTGGGTAAGCAATAAAGAACTCTTGATCTCAGTGAGCTAAGATCTTGCAGAAGGATTAGGTTTGACATGTAAACAAAAGGTGCAAGTTGGTAGATAATTTCAAGATTATTTGCAAATTACAAACTAGGAAATTAAAGTGCTTTCAAAGGAAATTAAAAAGTTGCACTGGGTGCAGAAGTCTTTGAGATTACACAGTGGTTCACCGATACATCTATCCCATAGTCTATATGAGCAGGTTTTCTGCTTGAACTCAGGACGAGTTCCTATCATCCATTCTATCCTACAGAGCATAGGCCACAGACCTGGGCAATGGGGTTGCAGTTTTAGTGGGTTCCAAGTATCCTTGGCCTCCCCATTTCCTAAGAAGTCAGCAGCTAGCAGTTTATGAATCTTGTGCCATCTTTATATTTGGTAGACAAAAGCCCAGAAGTTCTTGAAAAATGGCTGAAGCCTCCTAGGCCTTACACAAACCTTTCCCATATCAACTGCTTCCTGCGTCTGAAAGGGAATCAAGGTGTGATTGCCTGTAGCAGGAGTTGGAATCATGCAGGAAACACGGTTGTGCTGACTGAACTTCAAGGCTTACAGCTTCTCTTCTTGTAGAAAGAGCAGGCTATAGGAAGTCTGGTGCTCGGACTGCATGGATATTTAAGCAACCTATCTTTGATTTTTGCAAGCCAGATCCTCACGTATCCTAGGTGACCAACATGCTTTGTAGTTGTGGATGGCCTTGAACTTTTGTTCCTCCTTCCTCTACTTTCTATGCTGGAGTTACAAGTGTCTTCTGACACTTCAAGTTCATCTGGTGCTGGGGATGTAACCCAGAACTCCAAGCATAATGGGCCAGAACCCTGTCAATTGAGCTATATCTCTACCCTTTTTATTTTGTATAAGCACATTTTTCAAGTAGGGAGCCATAACATTAGTCTGAGATTTGGATTTGTAACATTCAACTATCTAGAAACATGATATAGGGGATTTTGCTTGTACTCTTTGGATATGGGTCCCACAAACAGTAGGAGAGCTCTACACATAGGCCTATAAGTATAGCTCCAGCATTGATATGCCAAAAAGAGGGAGGGTTAAGACATTCCATGCACCCATCCCACAATGAGGGATGCTCTCTCAGCCTGGACTCTTGTGGGAGGGCCTAGACTCTATCCTGGATGAAATGACAGACTCTGGAGATCTAACATGGTGGGCCTCACCCTTCCTGGGGACCGGAGTGGAGATTGGGTCCGGGACTGGGAGGACCTGGTAGGGAGGGTGGGGAAGAAGGGGAGGAAGAAGGAGCTGGGATTGACATGTGAAACAAGCTGGGGAAGAAGGGGAGGAAGAAGGAGCTGGGATTGACATGTGAAACAAGCTTGTTTCTAACTTAAATTTAAAAAAAAAGCAAAGGAAGAGGGAAAAAAAGACATCCCATGTTTTCTAACTGAGTAGGTCAAGATACTAGAGTGATGATGTCTTCTTTTACATGGAACTGAATTAACACAGGCCTGGGTGATGTATATATTATTGGATACTCAGACGGAATAATGGGTATGACAATGATTTGTAAGCTGTTTTCTGGTACATAAATGTAAAGTGTTATTATAAAAAGGAAAGAGAATGATATTAATAAAATTGATATTTGTGAAAATCTATAAATTCAGTAAATATAAGGTTATCTTACATGTGGCTGAAGAAAATTCATGGATGAGCCTCTCATCTTAATGTAAGTGTGTGTGTGTGTGTGTGTGTGTGTGTGTGTGTAGATTCATTAAACCTCCTGGGGAATTACTAGAAGAGTTCTTTTTCACTTGGAAAATACAGGTTGTCAGAGCAAAGTGACTCTGATCAGTTGACACTCAGACCAAGATTCAAGGTTGACTCAGGAGGGACAGCATTAGGAACTTGAGGCTAAGACAGGGCAAATCTGTTCGAAGTTCCCTGAAGCACATGCTAACAAGAATTATATGATTATGGTCATTCTGTGGGCGTTTTTGAGCAGACAGAAAAAAAACCCAAAACTGCCTTTGCTGAGGCAAATAAAATGGAGACAATATTTTCATTGATAAGAATTCTGCTCAGAAAACAAACACCGTTCCTCAAGACCCTATTGCTAACAAATTTGTCTGGGTACAAATAGAATGTTAATTCTGGCCAAAAGAATTTTGAGTGTATTTATGGTAGTTTTCTGTTTGATATTTTGGTCATTTTGTTCCCATCTAACATTAGGAAATTAATTGTACTCTAATTGAGATTTCAAGAGCGATTTTTCCACTTACATTCTGACATAAATGTTTGACTTGTTCTCAGGGAAAATTCAGTTTTTCCTGGGTCAGTCTGCCTCACAGGCTGTGGTGAGAACAGATCACTTTGGAGCAGAGCACAGCTGGCTGTGAGAGTGCCACTTCCTTCCCTTCTGCCCAGATGCTAGGAGGAGCTGAGCAGTGTCCTTGTGGAGGGTCAGGTGAATGCAAGTGACTCCTGACCCATGGCAGTGTGCCTGGCTGAGCTGTGGGTGACTAATAATGAGGACTCGGAAGTCTAACACAGTCAAGTTCGCAGTCATGGCACTGAAGAGTCTCTGAGCTTGCATTCCCTTCAGATGACTGGGATATGTATGTAAATACCGACAGGCGTATGTTGTGAAGACATGTAGTCCTGGAAAGGCTCAGGAACAAACTTTGTGCCCATAACTGGTGATTGCAAGGCCACTTCCTTACGGCAGTGCTACCCAGTGTGTGGCACATGGCCTGACAGCCAGTTTAGTTGATATCATGCAGTAAGATAAAGCTTGCACAAGAGTATGGATCCATTGTGTTACTAAGTCCAGGACTTCTGCTGTATTTAGTACAATGCAGCATTCTGTACCACCAAGACACTGGAATTTCAGTTATTTGTTTTCATCGTTTGCCCCCCCCAAAGAGAACCAATGCACTGAATTAGATTCTAGTGCAATTTTTTTTGTCACCATGCAGTGGCACAGTCGGTAACCTGTGCTAGCGCGGCACAGCAGAAGCAGGGGTTAAATGAAGGCTCTGGACTCCTTGCAGCTGGCATGGAAGCAATTGCTTCAGTCTGGTTTTCTTGCTTTAGCAATGGGAATTGTTTCGAGGCTCAGAATAAAGACACACATGGAGTCATTTTTAGGTGCTAAAGAGTCTTATTACCAACATATGCTAACATTTTTAGGAAGCTCAAGTCTTTTCTGTCTAATTGGCTGGTACTTTTCAGTTCTAACTACCAGAAGTTTGAAAAGCCTTAGGTTCTCATTTCTCTTGCACAACTGTAAAACTTGTAAAAAATAATTGAATTTAACATTTTAATTGCAAAAATTTTATTTTTGTGATATTATACTTTAAATGTGTATGCATTGTAAAATGGTCACATTGATATCACTAACTTATTACCACACTTATAGTGACAACACTTAAAATTGCTCTTTTATCAAGAGTAAAATTGTTATTAGCTATAGCCATCGTACACAATACATCTTTTGTATATATCACTAGATATAGAATAGACCTTTTGAACTAATTGCTATCATCTAAGTAAAACCTTGTTTTCTTTGATCAGTTTCAGTAAACCCCATGTGTTGTCCCTGATAACCACCAGATTCCACATATAAGTGCAATGATAGGGGTGTTTGTCTTTGCATTGGTTTATTTCTTTTAATGTATGTCCTACATTAATCCATGTTGTCAGAAACAGGATTTCCTTCTTACCAACTGAGTGATATTTCATTCTCTCTCTCTCTCTTTCTATCTTTCATTGTGTATCACATTTCCTTAACTTTTTTTGAAATACAAATGCTCAGTCTGTATAGTTAAACTAACATTTATCTAAAGCAATAAATGTAAGGTAATATCGGCAAAATACTGTTACAAATCTGGAGCTTAATTTTAATGTCAGTTTTTGTGGTAACATACTAGGCAGATAGTTCAGTGGGTGTAATAATGAAAGCTATGCAGCATGCTCAATAGTGGACCCATTTTCTTCTGGAGGATCTTGCTAACTTGTCATGAGTGTCTTCTCCAGACATAATACTGTGTAGTCTTAGGGTCTTTCTATTAGTTTTCTACGCTAACACTATTAACTGATCAAGGTCAGTATTCAGACTGGAACATGGCATTGTGAAAAAATACAGAACTTTCAGTTAAAGGAGAGCTGGGTTCAGATCCTGATTCTATTCTATACTTGCCATATGATTATATATACTATATATCCTGTTATATACTTACTGGGCTATATGATTGAGGGACAATACTTTAGAGAGTTTACATTTTCCTGGTTGTAAGAGCAGAATTATAAAGCTGATTTCATTGATGTATCATTTGGAATCAGTTCACCATACAAAGAGAAGGAAGCATGGTAGCTGATAAGTTATTTTTCTTCAAATTCCATTTCTCTCTCAAAAAGGACAAGTCCTTATCAGTTGGTGCCACCAATATGAATAACTTTAAAATGAATTAGGATAAATGGTGTAATATTGTATGGAGCTCTCACCTTGTACATTATGCTAAGATTGTTTTTCTAAAACTTGGAATACTGAAGACTGACAACATTCTATTTATTTATTTATGTATTTATTTATTTATTTGTAGGGTGAACGAGGAGAATGTGGTAAACCAGGAATGAAAGGTGATAAAGTAAGAAACACTGTTTTAAAATGTTAACAGTTGTGATTTCTTTTGGCCTTAGCTTCCTTAAAAAATTTCTGGGATGAATTATGTAGGTCCCTCTCTGACATGGAGTTCAGTTTTCACATCTGAAACATGTAAAAACTGAAGTAAACATATAAACATGGAATAAACACACAAAGCATGAAGTAAAAAACCAAAGAGTGTATAACTGCAATAATGAAGTCCCCCCCAAGGTCATTAAGGCCATTTTGTGACATCCTAGTCTTTGAGGTCAGTCCTTTTGAACATTATGGTAGGAAGAACAGCCAGCAAGTCAATGCAAGGTGTAGTTGTGTGCGCTGGAATGGCCTTCTGAAGCAACTTCACCCAGAATAGTGGACAATGCTCTGAAGCTAGTGAAATTATAGAGAGCATGTGGCAGACACAAGGGTTTGGAATTTAGGGAATACAGCAAGACATTAACAATAATATAACTGCTTACTTTAGTTCAACACAAATATGGGTAAGGAACTTAAACTAGGGACATATTCAATTTAGCATGCTAAAGACTTTCTTAATAGATCCAAACTACACAGTGAATCCAAAAATATAATTATAAGTGATCCTAAAGGCTTTGAATAAAAGTAGTAACCACTCTAGTTAAGAACTATTGACTATGAAGGCCAACAAGGTAATGAAATATAAAACGTCTATGTTATATGTGTGGGTGGAAGTGACGAGAGAAAATAGGCAGAGGTTGTGGAGGAGGAAAAAAATAATGATCCTGGCCTGTTAAATCAAATCCTTTAAATAGCTTGATCTTTCCTGGAAGCTGATAAACTACTGTAGAGCTGTAGACAGGCAGATCTGCAGAATGTAGACTTGGTGATTATTTCTGGGTAAATCAAAGTGAGACAATGAAAACATTTGAATGGGAGAAGAACATGGGAATTTTTAAGTACTGAAGAAAGAATCCATGGAATAGAAAAGAGATGAAAGTCAAATACTTAGGGAAGTATTATGATATCAAAATGGTTGACAAATAATTAGTGTCTCATTGACCAAGTTGCTAGATGTTGTAAATTACTGCATTATTTTCAGTGCAAAATACTGCTGATTTGTAAGATATGATCCATTTTAAGTGTATCTCAATGTTAAGATGTAGAAATATAAATAAGTATGTATATATAGGGTTCATAAATTATGGCACCCTTGATATGAAGCATTCACACAACTGTACTAAAAATGTATGAAAACATTAAGAGACAAAAAGAAACATAAATGAGAAAATCATTCAAATATGCCTGCAATCAAAGAAGTGAAATTAAGTCATTACTATCATTTTACACATCCAATATGAAAACAACAAGGGAATAAATTATACTTAATCTTGATTAATGTCCCATAAGATTAAATATATATTTTTGCATTCAGGTAATGACCACATCCAATAAATTTTATTTATAAAGTTTCTTCCTTTCCATATATACGTGATAGACAAAGGATGACAGACCCTTTAGTTGTCTCTAGTAGTTATAGAATCCTTAGTGATGAATCCGAATAGGACAAAGATGTAAACACACACATCATTTCTAAGGTTATTTAAAATAGCATTCATCAGAAGCACTTTAATGTCAAAACTAGGGAATAATTAACAAATTATGGCAGGTCTTGATTCTTAACAAATAATTTGAAATAAGTCTGAAAGCTTGGAAAAGGTAATATAGACTGCATTGTAGTCACACAAAATTAGTTGTAAATGTATTTTGAGATATGGGACATATTGAAATATTTTGGTAGGTCATTGACTTCCAAGGAAGGTCATTGTCACATTCCAATGTTGGGGAGAGGAGCAATCTAGTTGTCAAGCAGGCTCATAGATGATTTAACAACATTGATTTGTTGGAAGGAAATGATGTTCCACTAACTGCAGGAGTTTCTACACTTAATAGAAAATTCTAAGGATCACAGTGAAGCAAGTCCCTTCCTTTGAACCAAATATCAACATACAGGCTAAATAGTGACATGCTAAGCTGGATTTTCTTGGAGTTTATTTATTGAGGCAAAGTTTGACTCTGAGGTCTCTTGCTAATTAGGGTCATTAGGATTGCTTCAGTTGATTCTCTTTGATGTATGAATAAGCAGGGAAGAGTGAATGCCACCCAGAACATATGTTTGAATTTAAAATCTATGCTTTATAGAGAAGGCTAATTAAAGATACTCACCATTAATATTACCCCACAGGGACCTCCAGGGCCATACGGACCAAAGGGACCCAGAGGAATTCAGGTAAGGAGGTGAAAAGAAAATTTCAGTTTAAATAAGACTAATCTTGGGAGCTTTGAGTAACTAACAACAATGAAACAAAAACAACAACCACCCCCCCTTGGTCCATTTGCACCATCTTTAATTAAATCAGAGCATCTAGGAATTGGAGTCAGGCATCAGTATTTTATAAAGGTTTCCGGATGAGTCAGGTATCAGTATTTTATAAAGGTTTCCGGATGATTCCCGTATGTAACCAAGTTTGGAAACCACTTTACTAATTTTTTGATTAACTTGGTTCTCTAAAGACAGGCACCAATAGGTACCTCATAAATACACTTGATAACTCTGTCTAGTGAATTGTTAAGGAAATGGAAAGTAACTTGCATGGAGAAAGTCAGGTAGTTATTGCTGATAAAGTAGTAGTTATTGCTTCTATAATGTAGTTATAAGTGTTGTACATTTTTTCTAAATTTATTTATCTAAACATTTATATTATTTCCTTCAATGCAAGTAGTTAATCCTTGAAAATATGGAGTTAGTCTACAGCTTAGTTATATACTGTGGACCCCAGAAAATAACTTGTATCAATTTTCTCAGTGAAGGGACTAGTCTCTTCTAAGGTAACAATGAATGTAGATGAGTTTGAAGAAGTAACTGTAGCATTGCAAAAACTCTACTGAAGGTCTGGAGATATAGCTCAGTGGTTATCAGGCAAGCACAAAGCTGTAGCCTCAATCCTTGGCACCACAAATGTAAAAACAAAACAAAACAAAGACAAAAATCAAGCCAACAAAATGCCCCTCCCCAGATAGACTGAAAGTTGTGTGTTTTAACCCAAGAATTCTTAGGCTGTTTCTACTTAACAAACTTCTTCTTTTTGGCCTGTATTTGCCAGAACAAGGCAGTGACTGGCACTTCAGGCATGATACAAGTGACAGCTTTCAATGATCTACTTAGATATATTTAAAAAGCTGTTTGATAGGAAAAATATTTTTTAAAATGTGGAACCCAACACAGGAAGAAGATTAAAATACAGGCTCAGAAAACAAACATCCTATTCAAAGTATGTTTGTTTTTAGCATATATTGTTTTAGAAGCTATTAATTTGACTCAAGGAGTTTATGCTATGCAGTTTCTCATTTGAATATGATCCCAAAGTAGATCAGAGCCTCACAGTCAAGCTCCTGACACCAGGATTCCCAGGAATCCTAAGAAATTGCTTGTTCTTTCTTGGTTGGCCTTCTAGTTTGGCACATAAACTAATTCATGGTTTTCATCTTGGAGCAGGGCATTGGTGGACCTCCAGGGGATCCAGGTCCAAAGGGATTTCAAGGAAATAAGGTAATTTTTTCCCTAATTTTGAGATGGGAGGAGTGCCATTCTCTAGTGCACTGTGCTACTGTGAGTTTTATTAGACAGGAATCAGTCAATTCTTTGAAAAGTGCCTCTGCAAATACTCAGTAACCTGCAGGTGTCTGCACAGGGTCAAACTCAAGTACATACAGAGAAGCAGTGGTATCCATTTATCATCTACTACTTTATTATTCAGGGGCATTAATAACTATGAGGAATCATCCAGCATTGTTGTTATGTTTCTGTCTTACTCTTGATGCCTGGTATTTATGACTCCCTGGGAACTGAAAAGCAGTACCATGCAATAGGACCCCAGCAATTCCATTTTCCTCCTAGTAGCCATCTCCACATACATTTTATTAGAGGATAAGATTTACGGCTGTCATAAAAACAGAAACCAGCAACCTCAACCATCAGTACCATGTTTGTGACAACATCCCATAGATAATCCGGTATGACAGAGGGGAGGGGTGGAATAAGAGCCAAATAGCAACCAAAGATTCTCTAAAAGGGAGGATGCTGAAGTACCTGGTTATGGGACTTTCTTTTCCTGTATGTCTGGCCACTTATTACTTGAAAACAATGCTTCTATTTCCTTTTAGTAAATTCATAGATGTGATAAACATTCAGTAACATATCCATGGATGTAGTGAAGGGAGTTGTGTAGAATGTTTGACAACTGTTAGCTGCAGAAGATGCTGTCTTCCGTTGACCCTCAATAGAGGTCATCTTTTGAAGATGATATTAACTTTAAGTTATAGAGAGCAGTTGGGCTACTTGAGCGTTAATTCTCCATAGGGTGGGAAGGGAGTGATGAGTATGTATTTTTAATAAGATAATGACAATCTGAGATTTCCCAGGCCACTTTTAATTGGCAAATTAAAAGAGAATGGGCCTCTCAGCAGGAGCAGGCTTGAGCTTCATCTAGGGAAATGTCTTTTCCAGTCCTTGCCTATGATTAATTCTCTCTGGGGAAAGAAATGGCTCTGTTGAATACTGAGTAGTTCTCATAAAATTGCCTCAGCTGTAGGTAAAATCCTGCCAAAAGAAAAACCATCCATGTCTTGACAGTACACACATTATTTCTGGGTCAAGCAAGATGCTAATTTTTACATCTGTAAAACAGAGGCTTAAACTAGGGTGTCAGGACAAAGGTTTGTAACAGTGACAGAAATACAGAAGGGATGAGCCATAAAGAATGTGAGGGATTGTGCTGGCTTCATGCTGTCATTTTGGAAAAGGCCTAGAGGTGACTGGTGCATATGAGGCAGAGGTAGGGGCGGTAGAGAGGTGGGGCTGTGAGCTCTACAAGGGACTAAGGAGGAGGAGACAGTGAGGGTGGCAGTGAAGATGGCTATGGCAGTGATGGTGTCCCCTGCCCATAAAGAGCTATTATCATCTCAAGTGCTGGGATTTAAGGCATGCGCCTCCACTGCCCAGCCCATCACTTTTCTTTAAACCTGATAGACTCTCTACTTAGGTTTTGTTTGTTCATTGTTTTTTAAGAAATAAACCATTTTTCACAATCTTTAGATTTTGAATTCTAGCAATGTCTGGAATACGAGACTTCTTTCTGGGGAGGGATGATTATAATGGGAAGGATAGCCCTGAGCTTGACTATCATGGCATGTTCGAGAAGGGAATCATCTTCCCAACAGTATTTGATAATTTCATCTTAAGAACATTTTCATCTTAAGAAATATTTTTATTTTTTATTTTGGGGGATTGTTTTTATATGGGGAGATTGGTTTTGAGACAGAGCCTTACATACACTTGGTTGATCTAGAACTTACTATATAGACTGGGAATGACTTGAACTCACAGAGATCCACCTGCCTCTGCTTGCCAAGAACTGAGACTAAAGATGTGTGCCCTTCAGACACATTTTTAAGTTAAAAAAATTCCAGTTGAAATTTGGTTGTGATAAGTTATACGTGGCATAAAATCACTTACAGTTTCTTTTCCTCCATCCCCCTCTTCTTTTTCTCCCTCGCTGCATTTTTCTTCTCTTCCCTGTGTCCTCATCCCCTTTTCCCTCCCTCTCCACTATTATTATTATTGTTATTATTATTATTACTGACAGGGACTTACTCTGAAGCCCAGGCTGCCTTTGAACTTAGATCTTCCTGCCTCTACCATAAAGTAAACAGCCAATTAGTAGATGCTAATTTCAGCCAGACTCGTAATTCTAGCTACTCTGGTGGAAGACCACAACACTGAGTTGGGCAGCTTAGTCAGACTTGTGCCTGCAGAGGTCAGAAGAGAACGTAGAATCTCTTGGAACTGGAGTTACCTACAGGCAATTGTGAGATACCATGTGGATGCTGGGAACTAAACCAGTGTTCTCTGCAAGGAAAAAGATAGCATGTTGTAAATCAGGAAAAATATGCCTCTGGCCCAGTTTCACCAATCATTTCTGCCATTAATACTTTCCACGAGGAAATTAACTCCTATTCTGCCGAATGCTTTTGTTGGCATAGCAACAAAACATAGCTGTTTCTTAGAAGGAAGCCTTGGTTCACAGGCCCCGGGCTCTCCCACTCAACGGATCATTTAATAGCACTAGAAGAACATCCCAACAATCTTTTAAATCATTAGAAATATAATTATGGAAGTGCCTGACACCTTATTCCTGGGACCAAGCTGAACTTGTAACTCAGGAGAGACTGGAGTGCTAGGGGCCTGGCACTGTCAACTTTCCCAGGGTCACTGTGGTTAGCCTAGGCAGTAATCAACAGGGCTCTTCACTAGCTAGCTAGACTGTATCAAGATGGGGAGGCCTTTAAAATTTGTAAATAATTCTGAATGAACAAGCACGTCAGGGAATACAAAACTAAATAAGCCATTCTTCCTGGATCTTGAGACCTTTCTGAGGTTATTTTTAAGGGATATTTATTTTTCAAATCTCATGCAAATCTGTTCTAATACTCTGTCTGAGGGGAAGGACTGCATTATGGAATTGTGTGAAGCTGTCTGTGACACTCAAAGGTGCCCCACAGAAGAGCCTGGAGGTCAGGGCCAAAGAGCAGAGGTGACCAACATCTCTGGTGCCTCTCCCAAGGAAAAGTGCCATATGTACCTCAGACTACTGGAATTGGTGATATTAATACTATATCACACGAACTTATCTTCGGGGGTGGTATCTTCTTTATTCCTCCTTGCATTGTTCTAGAAGATTCGCAGTATTTCCCAAAGGATTTTTTTCTTAGGGTTTTCTTCATTTTCTTGAGGTTCAAGTATAAGAAACACTAAGTACTCTTACATAGGAGACTTAGTCTTTATGTTCAGTTTAGCTTCCGAGACACTAGGAAGGGGATGTTGGTGGTGCAGGGAATTGCATGACTGCCTAGAATAGCCAATTATACTTTTCTAACATTATAACCTGGTCAGAATGGGATAGGGTTCATCAATAGCTTCCTGGGTACTAAAACTTTTTCATATTTGCATGTTCTCCTCAAAGTGGTAAGAGAATGTTTGACTTAGAGTCTCATGTTTTCTATAACGTTAATATTTTACTGGGATGTAAATATTACTACTGAAGACACAGTAGTTTTAAAATGCATTGCTTTTGGCCACTATTAAAATACTTCATTTGACTCACAGCTATCGTAGTGGCTCCAGGAGAGTGGTTGTCAACCTATGGGTCGCACCACCTCTGGCATCCCTCTATCTCCAAAAATATTTACATTAAGATTCTTAACAGTAGCAAAACTGTAGTTATGAAGTAGCAGTGAAAATAGTTTTATGGTTGGGGTCACTACAACATAGGAACTGTGATAAAGGAACTGTTAGGAAGGCTGAGAACCACTGTTCTAGGAGGTTAGCCTACTAAACATGACTAATATTTCCAGTTGTGGTTTGGCAATAGTTGAATACTACAATAAAAAAACTTAAAAGAAATTTAGATTTCTCTTCAAACTACCTACCAACTATGGTTTGTAACATGATATGTAATCTCTTGTAACTTGATGTGGGGTAGGTCAGATACAGCTTATGTAGTGTCTGCAATTCGTGGCAAAAATAATTAATCAAGAGAGGTTGCAGATTCACAGTTCTCTAAGCCCATTTGTTATATTTTGTGCTTTGTGGAAAGTAGTTTTAAAACAGCACTTGAACACACCAGCTTAAATATTATTCTCCCTGACAATTCTCCTAGTGGACTGACAGTTCTGTCGATACTAGATTGTGATGAATCAGTGCATAGGAAAATATTATGATATTCATTATAATATTCATTTAATGAATCATGCTGACCGAATTTTGAGATTATTTTCCTTTCAGAGATATCGAAGTCTAAATATTATTTCTGTTCCGAACTTAATTAAAGGGAAAGGATTGTTAGTAACCCAGCAATTCCTGATGTGGAAAGAGCTTTGACTTGCATGAACATCTGCTCACCAGGAATTTAAGCAAGCTTATTAATTCATCTGACATGAGACAACTGATAGTGACAACTTGAAAGGGTTGCCAAACATGTGGGATGTCAGCCAATGACTTCAAGGCAGATGATTTTCATGTCTATATCTCTGATCTCTATGACTCTAGCAGCTGGGGCAGGCTGTGTGCATGCATGTGCACATGTGTCTGTGTGGTTAGAGCCTGCCAACAGAAGCTCTCATGAGCCAAAAGAACTGCCAGCACTTCCCAGGACATTTTTGTGTGACTCATATGCCTAGTTAGACAGGGTGCTAGATAGAACAGACCCAGTTGTATGCTCAGAGGAATGCCATGGTTTTTATAATTGTATCAGTGTCATTAATTCAAGTACATGGCGATAGCAATTTTGCCGGGGGAAGTTGTTCATTCTAAGGATAAGACATTTTATTAAAATTGTGAAGTACTCATAACCTAACATAATTTGAACTACTGAGGAAAATTTATTGGAATTCAACATGCTAACAATGTCATTCAACAGGTATTATTATTTATGCTTATTTTTTTAATCATTTCAGTGAACTCTGTATGAACCAAACAGTACTTCCTCCTTC